CCAGGAGCCCCCGGGTCTGCTGGACATTCTCTCAAGGGGACGTTGCTGAGTGGTGGGGCTCTGTGATGCCTTAGTTATTTACCTCAGTTCAGTAGCTCTGAGGTTGCCTGAGGGCAGACTCAGATTTCCACGCAGGACATGAAAAACGGGACAGGTGACAAGAGTTCTCTGGGAGAAGTAGGTTGGGGAAGTAGATTACCCCAAGGAGTTCATAAACAGAGTCCTGGTCTGGATTGCTGCCTGACCGAGGACAGCTGTGACTCATTTGGGGAAAACCTGCGTGCAGGGAGGTGTGCAGCTAGGGTTGTTGCCCACGACAGAGCCCTGTGATCCTCATTTATTTTGGAGGGAAACATCTACTACTATCTCTTGCTTAAATAACGAGAAGCTGCCCTTTTGACAGCTCACAAGAGGGGAAGCACTACCCCACAGGATATTTATATGTGAGTGTATACTGAGTCTGTCTCTGAATTTGCTACAGAGCAGAGCAGAAATTGCTGCTCACTTTTTTTTTTCTTTTGCCTTTTTGAGATAGGGTTTGCTATGCAGCTCAGGCTGGCCTTGAGCTTACTTTGTAGCCCAGGTTGGTCTCGAACTTACAACGATCCTCCTGCCTCAGCCTCCTGAGTGCTGGGATTACAGGCATGTGCCACAACGTCTGGCTGCTGCTCACTTTGTAGATAAAAGAACTGAGGCCAGATGTTTATCGCAGAGGGGAAGAACTGCATACCCAGTGGGACATGATTCCTGTCCCAGGACCTTTGGGTGCTAGGGGGAATTCACGTGAGGTTAACATGAGGGCAGAACCGAGTCCTGGCTGTAGGAAGGAGAGTCGTACCTGTACATGCCAGCCCTGGCTGGGGTCTTCAGTCCAGCAGCAGACCTGCTGCAGGCACCAAACAGCCTCTCTGGCCACTAGGTCCCATCTTCTTCCCTTGCCCAGGTTATTGGTGGGGTCAGCTGGGTCTAGGATGATGGGCCTAGGGGAAATAAAGGAAGTAGATCTCTGTCATACTCAGGACTCTGGCTTCTGGCACCCATGTCTATGCAAGTGTGCAAGCCTTTGCGTAGGAAGGACTCCCTGCAAGCTGAAGCTGTGGGTTCAGGACTGGAGACATAACCTAAGCTGACCTGGTCACAGTGAATTTCCGAGATTTTGCTTGGAATGTTCCTTCTTATACTGGAATGTATGTATTCAGATGAGAAGCCTAGAAGTGATGCAACCACGAAGGAATTAATGTGAATTTGATGGTAAAACCCTGGGAAAGACTGAGCTGAGCAATTCATATAAATAAACTCTGATAACACAGGAAACTTCTGGATCATGCCATACCTGAACCTTCTTTTACCTTTGGGCTTTTCAGTTACAAAAGGCAATACATTCCTTTAAAAATTTTTCTTTTTTATAAAAGCTGTTTCCCTTGGGTTTGCTGTTCCTTAAAGCTGAAAGTAATGCAGCCAAGATACTCACCTACTCTTCTTCAGTTGTTGTTTGATATAATTTCTGACAATCTCACTCTGGAAATCATAATACTTGGTCCAGTATATGCAAATGCCTTCATAATCTCTGAGGAGTGTCATCACAGCCACAAATCCTTCATTCATGTTGAAGTTCTCTTGTTGGTCAGTACCAATTTCCCAGGCGTAGATGGTGAGTAGCTCCAATGCATACTTTGAGGGCAGAGCTGCTCCTTGATACTGAGATTTCACATACTAGAGAAAGGGGTTGGGGAGAGAACACGAGACGATTGATGCTCTAAAAATTCTTGGGTCATTGTGTTGTATTTTGTAGCACAAGCAAGAAAAGGTGGAGTCTAGGCGGACTTATGTCCTGGGGCTACCACGATTTCAATAAAAGAGGATGCTGGGGTCTCTCATAGATCCTCTGGGCCTTATCAATCCATGTTTTTCTGTTGGAGTGGAGGAAGCAGTATAATGAATATAGAAAACAACCAGAGAGAATGAAACCACATATCAGGCAAAACTGAAAGATGAAAGGGAAAGAGGAAGGAAAAAAGGACAATTCCTCCGAAGTTAATTTAAAATTTCACTGTAATCTTACTTGGAGTCCCAGGGATAGTTTTTTTTTTTTTTTTTGGTACTGGGAATCAAACTTAGGACCTTGTACTTGCCAGGCAGGCGCTTGTGCCTCTGAGCTAGATCCCTGGCCCCCCAGGGGTATTTTTAACAGGATAAAATAGCCTTAAGATTCACATAGAGGAAAAAAAAAGGATTCGCATAGAAGCATAAATGCTTAGGAAAAGCCAAGAAAATTACAAGCAAGCTGTGTTATATACATGCACCAGCTCCCCAAGATAATTGTAAAATGCATGTACTGCAAACATGTACTAATACAAAAGCCAGGAAAATGATGAAAAATAGAGAGTCTGATATTTGTCTTTTTGAATAGATATATAAAGCAGTTGCAGTAAGAGTATGTTTTGGGTATAGGAATAAGCAATAGTCAAACATACCAGGACAGCTGAGAATTTGTTCCCAGTAGATAGAATTTAGTATTTGACAAAGGCAATATTTTGGTTCAGTGAGAAAAATACACAAATTCAACAACTAATGTGCAACTTGCTAGGTATTTGGTAGAAAATAAAGTGATTCCAATGTTCCACCATATACCAAAAGAAATTACAAGTGGGGTTGCATTAATATTAAATTTAATATTACACCATATTAAAAATGTAGTGACTAATATATGTATATATATATGGGGGGTAGGATAGAGAATCATAATCTATAAAAGAAATTTACAATGCCCCAAAGGTCAATAGCAAATGTATTTGTTTAAAGGGTAGACTGACTGGAACAATAGTATGGTCCTACTTCTCTAAGATCTGAGCCTAAGATAGATTTATACACACACACACACACACACAAAAAAAAAAAAAAAAAAAGTCACTGATGATGTTATTGGTATTATCTTAGGGATTTCATGTGAATTTTACCTTCTTTCTTATGCTTTTTACACTGATGAATTTTGGGGGGATATTGGGGATTGAACCCAGGGTTTTGCACTGTGCTACATCCCAGGCCTTTTATTATCGTTGCTGTTATTTTGAGATAGTGTCTTGCTAAGTGGCCAAGGCTGGCAATGAATTTGCGATCCTCTTGCCTCAGCCTTGCAAGTAGCTGGGACTGCAGCACAAATCACTATGCCCAGCTTCAATTTTTAAAACATGAGTCTACTGCAATATTCAGATAGTCAGAAAAAATAATTACTATTATAAAAAATATTTTGTATCAAGATCACAAAAGGCAGACATACTTATATTCAAATTTCAGCTCCATTTTAGCATTTGAATCTCAGTTTTCTCATTTCCAAAATGAGAATAATAAATAATGCATACATTATAGAGTTGGTAACAAGATGCATTTTAGCTGCTGGGGAGGCTGAGGCAGGAGGATTGCAAATTCAAGCACAGCCTGGGCAACTTAATGAGCTTGTTGCAAACATAAAAAAGGGTGGGGTTGGGGCACAGTGGTAGATCATTTGCCTAGCATGTACAAGGCTATGGAATTAATCCCCAGCAAAATACACACACATACACACACACACACACACACACACACAAACACACACACACACATGGGGGTGGAGAGAAAGAGAGAGAGAGAAAGAGAAATACACGTTTGTATGTAGCATAAATCATGGAACATAATTCACACTCAAAAAAATGGTAGCTTTATAATAATTGTTTTTACTATTATCTGAAATATCTGAGGTCTGAAGCCTATTGAAAATCATTGCGTGCTTATCAGGAACTATTTAAGGGCTGGGGATTTAGCTCAGTGGCATAGCGCCTGCCTGGCAAGCTCGACGTCATGAGTTCGATTCCCAGTACCAGAAAAAACAAAACAAAACAAAAAAACAAAAAAAAGGAACTATTTAATTGCCATTGAAGAACTGTCACTGCTGATGTTATTGGTATTAGCTTAGAGATTTCATGTGAATTTTACCTTCTTTCTTATGTTTTTTACACTGATGAATTTTGGTCATTCAAACCAGGAGGCTTTAAGCAGGACAGGATGCTTCAGAAGGTGATAGAACACAGCAACAATAAACACCATCACCAGCAATAACGGCTGCCCCTGACTCTGTCAGGGGCTCCATGCTGCTGTCCCTAACTTTTTGGCACCAGGGACCCATTTTGTGGGAGACCCTTTTTCCACAGGACAGGGGAGAAGAGGAATGGTTTCGGGATGATTCAAGTGCATTACATTTATTGTGTACTTTATTTCTGTTCTTATTACATTGTGCGCTTTATTTCTGTTATTGTGACATTAGATTCTCACAAGGAATGCAAACCTACATCCCTTACAGGTGCAGTTCACAGTAGGGAATCTAACGCAGCTGCTGATCTGACCAGAGGTGGAGCTCAGGCAGTGCTGTGGGGAATGGGAGATGGCTGTAGATACAGAAGAAGCTTCCCTGGCTCTCCCACCGCTCACCTGCTGCTGTGTGGCAAAGTTCCTAACAGGCCGAGACCCTAACTGGTCTGTGACCCTGGGGATGGGGATCCCTGCTCAATAGGTTACAAATAATTTCCAATGACAGTAGTATTTCACTTACATGGTCTAATCTGCCTGCTACCCTTAGCTAATTGTTTCCTCCCCTGCTCTTCCCCTTGTTCTTGCATCTCCCAACCCAACCCCCACCCTCTCACCTTCAGGTACCAGAACTTCACCAGCCGCAAGAGGTTTTTCAGTTTAATAGGGCGCCTTTTTACAAAGTCCCTCCGTAACACTGTGAAGCTTGGTGAGAACTCCCCAGGATACCTGCAGCTGTTTATTAAATCTTCATAGATTTTCGGTGCTGGTTTAGAGTCTGGGCAAAAGGATCCTGGGAGGAAAAGAGTATTCGGTTATCACCCTCCCCTTTCCCATAGCCCACCCCTTCTTCCTCTATACTTTGAGGTGAGGAAGATCGAAAGAGCATAGCATATGCGTCAATTATTTTAGGCAATTCTCACAACAGTGTTACCCTTCTCAATTTATAGCTGAACAAAAGGAGGCCTAGATGGTTTGGTAGCATACCCAAAGGTCACATGAATTTAAAATAACTTGCATTGACCAACAACATACAATATGTCAGGCACTGGGTTAAACTCAGGGAATCTTCAGGGACAACAGTTGTATGAAGTAGGTAAGTTTGAGAAGAACATAGGACATTACCGTTTTTGTGGGTGAAACATGGTCAAATAATTAGTTGCTAATGGTTCCACCTACATTTGATATTGACCCATTTAACAAGTTGGTATTCTCAGTGTTAGAAGTATGTTATTGCTTGTGTCTGCAATGTCCCTCAAAAGCGCATGTGGTAGTATCTGGGTCCCTAACACAGTAATTTTCAAAGGTAGGGCTTTGGCAGGTGATTAGATTCTGAGAGCTCTAATTTCATCAGATGGATTCATAATTTGATGGCATTGGGAGGCGATGAAATTCAGGAGATGGAGCCTAGCTGAAGGGAAGTAGGTCATGGGGCATAACCTTGAGGACTATGTCTTGTCTTTGGCCCCTTTCAGGATCTTTCTCTCTCCCTTGCTCCCCCCCTCCATCGTCCCCTTCCCCAGTGCCCACCCCTTCTTCCTCTGCCTCTCTGGTTTCTGGCTGCCAGGAGGCGAGCAGTTTTATTTCTCCATATTTTTCTGCCATGATGTTTCTGCCTTGACACAGGCCCAGAAACAATGGAGCCATGGACCGTAAAAACCACAAGCTGAAATAAACCTTTCCTCCTTTAAATTGTTATTCTCAGGCATTTTGTCACAACAAAGGAAAGCTGACTAATGAAGTATTAAATAGTTTTCCCGACTAGAGGCACAGGTAGGAAGATTGAAAGCTCGAGCCCAGCCTGGGTAATTTAGTGAATTAGGTTGACCTTGGCCACCCACTCCCCCAATAAAAAAGAGATGAGGATGTAGCTCAGTGTGAAGACCTTGGGTTTAACAAGCCCTAGTGCAAAAAAAAAAAAAAAAAAAAAAAAAAGAAAAGAAAAGAAAAGAAAAAAAGAGCCTTGTTTTAAAGATGATTCTAATCTAATGTGACCCCAAAGACCTTGAAGCGCTTGCTTGACCTGGTGCATCCCAGAGAGCTGGAGAGGCATTTCCTCCTTAGGTTGGGTAGAAATTCATTATTTAGAAGAAATCCCCTTTCTCAGGCAACATGGAGACATCGCAACACATGCATTTAGGGAAGGACTTAATTCTTCCAATGACAGCCTCAGTCCCATTTCCCTACAAAAGGGCAAACTCCATTGGTTTCCACTTTCCCAAAACTCTGAAGCCAGGTTGGTAAAGGGGCCCCACCCATTGCTGTCATTACCCAAGGCATCGAAGGCCAGGACCACATCCATGTGAATGATGTCACTGTTCTTCTTGGACTGGACCTGCACGTTTAGGGAGCGAGGTGTTCTGGGTCCCGGTATGTGGTGAGCCACAGTGATATTGTAGGCCAGGCTTTCACTACAGTGATCCAGTCTCTTCTCAATGAAGTCAACGATGGGTCCTAGGAAATCTGCCTGCTGTTTGAAGCTGGTAAAGCAGCTCAGGAACAAAACCATATCCACATCGGAGCTGTGATTCAGCATTGTCCCCTTTGCCCAAGAGCCGCCCTGTGAAGGAGGACAATACTGAGCTTTATTTCCCCGGAGACTTGATGCTTTGAGGTTGAGAACAAAGCAAGCAGCCCTCAATCTCTAGTTTACAACCATTGGCAGGCTGTAGACACAAGTCCCCCAAAAGAGCCCTTGGCTGTTATCACACACACTGTGGACTTTGCTGTGAGCGTTATGGGTTGAGCATGTCTAATTGAAAAGTCAAAAATTCAAAATGCTCCAAAATCCAAAACATTTTGCATGTCCGCATGACACCAGAAGTGGAGAATTCCACATGGGACCTCCTGTGACACATCACAGTCAAAATGTAAAAATACTGTACAAAATTACTTTCAGACTAAGTGTACTTGTAGAATAAATAAAGAGCAAAATAAAACATAGATAATAGGAAATAAGAGAGAGAGATTTTGCAGAAAGGGAGGGAACTAGGGGATGGAGGGAAGGAGGAAAGAAGGGAGGCAGAGGGAATGAACCAAAATTAAGCTGTGTTCTGTGCATGCACCAACTCCCCAGGAGGTATGTCATCATGTACTGCAAACATATACTTATAAAAATAAAAATTAAAAAATAAATTTAGCTCAAAGCAGAGAGGAAAAAAATACTATGCATATACTGATTTAATGTTCAGACTTAGACATCGCCCCTGAGGTGTCTCATTATGTATATGCAAATATTCTTTTTTTTTTTGTTTTTTCTCCGGTACCGGGAACCAAACTCACGACCTTGCGCTTGCCAGGCAGGTGCTTTTGCCGCTGAGCTAAATCCCCAGCCCCATATGCAAATATTCTAAAACCTGGGAAAAAACCCAAAGTCCAGACACTTCTGTTCCCCAGCATTTTGTAAAGGGACACTAAACTTGTACTACATCTTTTCACTGATTTATGAAAGTCAAATGTCTACTAAGCAATTTAGAAGCTATAAGTGAAACATAAAACTCCATTCATCCCAAGGACTTTAACCTGAGACAACCAAAATTACCAGCATCTTATATAGTGTTCCTTAAATGTTCCACTCTAAGACATGCACAAGCCAATATGGTTGCCAGCAGCCACAGATGTCTTTTTACATTTAAATTAATTAAAATGAAATAAAATGTCTGTTAGCTTTATTGGAAATGCTCAGTAGTTGCCCAAGGATGGTGGCTAGTATATTAGATAATGTATATGTACAGCATTTCTATCATTATAGAAAGTTCCATTGGACAGCTCTGGCTAAGTGTATCTTGTACACTTATATTTTGAATATACAGATACATGGGTGTATGGACAAACATTTTCTAGATGCTTTGCTTTGAAGTAATTACAGATTCATAGGAAGTTGTAAAAATAGTAGAGAGAGGTTTGGTGTGCACTTTACCCACTCTTCCCAACGGTTATATACCATTATTGGAGACTGAACACATGGCTTTCACATGGAGTTACATCCCCTGCTCCTTTTTTTATTTTGGGACAAGTTCTCACTAAGCCACTAAATTGCCCAGGCTGGGCTTGAACTTGTGACCCTCCTGCCTCAGCCTCCCAGAGTGCTGGGCTTACAGGCATGTATTCCTTGCCAGCACATCTTACATAAAATATTAAAAGCAGAAGGTTGACATTGGTGCCACATTTTACCCTGTGTGTAGATTCCTGTGACAATCAAGGTACAGAATCACCATTGCAATCAAGATATAGAATTATTCTATCACTAGAAAGATGTTCCCCATGCAGCTCCTTTATAATTATACATGCTTCCCTCCCTTCCACCATCCCTAAAACCTGGAAAACAATCTGTTTTCCATTTGTGGAATCTTGCCATTCTGAGAATGTTGCACAGTTGTCCCTTGCTGTTCTAAAGGACTGGTTTCAGGACTTCCTCAGGTACTAAAATCTGAGGATGCTCATGTCCCTTATATAGAATGGGGTAGTATCTGCACATCATCTATGCACAGCCTCCTATATGGCTCAATCTCTACTTTACTTTTAATCCCTAATACAATGTGATATGTGAATAGCTGTTACACTGTATGATTTTATTTGTATTATTGTACCATTGCTTTATATTTTTTCCCCTCAAATATGGTCAGCTCTTTGTATCTGCAAGTGCCACATAAGCAGATTCAACCAACTTCAGACAAAAAATATTGTCCATGCTGAACATGTACAGACTTGTTTCTTGGCAATATTCCCTAAACAATACCACATAACACTATTTGCATAGCAACTGCATCATTTTAGGCATCACAAGTCATCTAGAGATGGTTAAAGTAAGGATGTACATAGGTTATATGCAAATACTGCATCATTTTATATAAAGGACTTGAGCATCTTTGGATTTTGGTAACCATGGGTGTGGGAAGGAGTGAATATTCCTGGAATGAATATCCTTTTGGACAGGGGGCCAATTGTACCTGGAATCATACCAAGAGGTATGTAAACTTTTCAAATGGACTTTTCCTCCTTACCTTGCACAATGCTTTTGGTATCCACTTATATTTTGTGTGTCTTAATAGCTTGTTCCACCATAGTCACCCTTGTTTCAGGTTAAGTTCCGATTTCGGACCCCATTATTTCTGTTACATATTTTAATTTTCAGAGTTCTCGTCCTGGCTCTTTGACGTTTGTCCAGAGTTTTAGTTGTAATTTGTAAGAGAGATAGTTTGTAAGTTGTTTACTCCATCTTGACTGGAAGAGAAGCTTACAATCCCTTATGATATAAATGAAAGTGTTGTTAAATTAAATAAGTGGGAGGCCATTAGTCTGAGGTTTTCTGTACTTTGATTTCCTATAACAAACTGTATTTTTTGTATGTAAATAAACCAGATCCTGAGTTAAGGATCATATAGCCAGGTTTCAGCCAATCAGAAATAGCTAAGCTTTAGCCAGTCACAGTTAGCCAACTGATCAGAACATGCCCAAATAAGGGAAATGCCATATTACATGCTGTCTGTATAAGGCAGACGCCTACCAGTAGCCAAACAGTGATTTCTCTACTTTGTTCCCATGTTTGTCCCACTTTATTGGCTTTTGAGCTTATTGCTCACCCTGGGAGCACTCTCTGAACCTCCTCTGGCTCTGAGTGACAACCTGACTCATGAATCTTTCTTTGCTCAGGTATAGTCTACTGAACTTAACTTGCCTAAAGTTTTTCTTTTAGCAATATATATGAAAGAAAATATTTCCTAATTATTTATAACCAAAAGTGTGGTCATGGTGTCCTAAAATATTAATGATGCTTATACATGAGCAGTAAGATCACTTTGTAAGGTTTTGTATTTTCCTATATCTTTGTGACTAAATGTATTATTTGTGTACTTAAAACATCATAAAACAATTCTGATTTTAGATTTCTATGTTTTTTTTTAAATTTTATTTTGAGACAAGGTCTGGCTATGTAGTTTAGGCTGGCTTTGAATTCACTATGTAGCCCAGGGGAGGCCTCTCTTGTTGATCCTCCTGCCTCAGCCTCTTGAGTGTTAAGATTATAGGCAAGCACCATCATATTGGGCTGTAACCTTAATTTAGACATTTGGTTCCTTGAGGACACAGAATTGCAGAAAAAGAAACAATGTGGGGCCCATATTCTTGAAGTGGAGGTGGTGATTAGGTACAGCAAGAGAAGTCCTTGCAAAAGTTACTATTGGTACTGAAGTTTCTCTGACCCACACATGATAAGAAATCAAATGGATCAGTGTATTTAACTACGGAAAAACACATCATAAGTGGATGGATGGATGAAAACAAGAAAAGTAGAGGCAACTAAAAAAAAAAAAATGTAATGCTTAAAGAGGCGAACAAAGATAGAGAAAAGTGTATTGTGCCCCAATAGTGCAATGTACCATATATTAATACTATCTATTTATGTGTGTCTGTCTCTATCTCTACATCTCCTGGTTCCCATTGCCTATCTCCCAGTTTCCCTTTTCAAATAAGGTCTATAGTTTCAGTGTAACTTTGTGCTATGCATTTTCTATGTTGCTCAAAACAGGTTATGATAGCTATTTCACGTGTGTTTCAAATTCTGTAATAGAGCAAGAGGAAAGGTAAAAATACATCTTTATCTTGTGCAAATGAATAGTCTTTACTTGGTTCATATACCTGTAAAGGTAGGAACAGGAACTTCAAAATGTGGGCATTTGGAATAACATAAATAGACATATCCCACTGAGACAACACATTCTCATCTATAGAAGAATTTTATTTAGAACATATGTTAAAACCTTTGAGCACTTTCAGACGTACCCTTAGGACAACATGCATCTCATTTCTGGTTCTGGTAGGGATTTCATTTTTTGCTGTTTGATTCTGACAATGTGAGCATAGACAGTGATATGGTAAAGGCGTCCTACAACAAGTTCGGAGGTGTGGAGGAGTTGGAGTCCAGAAGTGCAGTTGGATCTTTTCAAGCAACTACAGGAAGCCAACTCCCTGTTTTTGAAATGCACGATGTGCAGCTAATGCTCATGAAGGCTTGAAGTCCTTCGTCAGTCTTACTTTCTGCAGCCCTTATCATCACCAGGTACAACCTGATTTGCTTAAGTTGATGTGCAATGGCTTTTATTCTGGGGAGATGAATAAAAGCTAGGCTTACAGTTGAAACACTTTATATCGACAATGGTATAATAAAAGTTAAATTGGGCCAGGGATACAGCTCAGTGGGACTGCGCCTGCCTGGCAAGTGCAAGGTCCTGAGTTCAATTCCCAGTACAAAAAAAAAAAAAAAAAAAAAAAGTTGAATTATAATTGAATATTTTCCGAGGAGAAACCATGCTTATAAATAGGTGTTGAATTACATGGTCAGTCTCTAAAAACCCCTCGAACTTGTCAAGTGTCTTCTGTTATTATTATTTCTGACATAGGCAGGCAGTACCATTTTTGAAGAAAATTATAGGAGCTTTTCTTTATGACTTTGTAGGTAAAGTGGGGTTTGTTAAAGGAAGAAGTTAAAAAGGATAAATGTGATTGAGACCTGCTATCCACATTCCATCTGACTCGACATTCAGGGAGCTGAACGCCAAATGCTCCTTTCCCTCCCCTACTCCCGCCCCCGCTCCTCCTCCTCTTTCAGCTTTTGTGAAATAATTTACTACTTAAGAGCATTTCCCCATGTTTCATCTCATTTATCGGTCATAAGAAACTCCGGTTAAAGAGGGAGGAAGTGAGGCGTGGAGATGAAACGACCCGTTCCCTAGGTCCCACCATCCCACAGAAGCAGGGCGGGAATTTGAACGCCAGGACCTGGAGTGCTCACCTTCAGCACCTTCAGCACCCTGACCTCTTCATCCAGAACCAGATTATCTCGGAAGCACTGATTCCGAAAGAACTTCTCGACTCTCTGCCAGGCATCCTGTCCTTTTTCCTTCCAGTCCCCCTGGGGCTGAAGGCTGTGCTCCAGGAAGGCGTCCAGCCTGTCTCCTGGGGTCCAGTACAGGTCCTGTGTGAGGTCTATCTTTGCAGGACTTCTCTGTCACTGCCCAGCCCCGTAAGGGGTACGTTTCAGGCCTTCCCAACAGCTGAACAGTTGCGGAGAGAGAAGGAAACCACGTGAGGCAGAGCCTGACTCTCCTCGGCTTGCGGTGAGAAGAGGGCTGCCAGCGAATCGCGAATCGCTCCTCCTTCCGGAATAATTTAAGTTCTGCAGCCAGGCAGCGTTCCAGCCAGATAGGAAATGGAACTGTGTTTTTCAAGGAATCAAAACTGAAACTGGAAACGGAAACTTTCGCGATGCAGAGTTTTGTTTCCTACGGCTGTAAGCAACAATGGATTCAGAGATGGAGCTAAGTCTTCCCAAGGGGGTCTCCCGCGGGAAATTCCTGGAGGGTCCTGGAGCTGCCCCGCCCCCATGTCAGTGGGCGCTAACGGGTTAGGGTGAGGGAGTGACAGCTCGGCTGTACTTAATTAAGGGGTCCTGAGGCTAGATATTCTCACCCTTTGTTCCTTCTGTCCTTTTCTCTCTAGGCGAACCCTCTGATCCCAGAAAGCTATGAGAAGGAAGGAGTTTTTTAAAAAGCTGCGTGTGGGGAGTGTTAGGTAAAAATTTTGAGACCAAGAGGTCTCTGAAATAACGGTTTTTTAGGGAGAGGTAGAAGTGAAAGGAGCAGTCCTGGGACCGATGCCCTGAGCTACCAGCAGCTTGACCTGAGGGCGCTTGGAAAAACATCCGCTGGACTTAAAATGAACCCGAAATTTTGGAGAGAAGAAACAGAAGTCATTTATGCAGACCAGAGGCGGAGCGGAAGTGGGCAAAGCCCTGGGGGTGGGAGGGGAGTCTGTAAACGCAAGTTGTTGCTGCTTCTTGCTTGGTTGGTTTGAGAAGCAGAAGGTGACGTGGCCTTGATGGAGATCTTCAGTACACGTGCGGGAAAGGGAGGTGGAGCCAGTTTGTTTTCGTTTCTATTTCCTTTCTCGTTGCTGAAAGCTGTCAGCTAAAATGAATTTCTGTTGTCTCTTTCCTCCCTCCATTCTCTGGCCTCCTGACTGTTCAGGACATCTTAGAATTCTTCTCACATCAGGGGGCTGTTTCCTGAAGTTCTTCATTTTGAAGAGCAAAGGGGTTTGGAGGAAGACACATTGCCCTTAAAATATTTCAGTTGATGCAAATTTCAGGTCTCAAACAGTGGCCCTGTGAACCAGAAAAATAAGGGAAGAGAAAGTGAACTTAGGTTTGGTAATTATTCCTGGGAATATGACCTTACATTTACATACAGTAGATACATAGATGACATTGTATACAGGTGTTTTAATAGTCATTTAGAAAAGGAACCCCACATCGACATCGAGGAAGTCATAAATAAACACAGGATGCGTGTAAAAACTATGTCGCTGAGATTTGTTCAGAATGTCCAATCCAAAAATGTCTGTTATTCTTCTGCTGGAAGAGAAGATACCGGGCCCTGGAAAACTGGCCTAGAAAACTTACTTGGAGGTGAGAAAAACACTGATGTGCTAGATGCCTACGAAGGATTTGAGGAAAAAAAATTTTTTTGAAAGATGAAAGTGGAGCTGGGGATATAGCTCAGCAGCACAAGTGCCTGCCTGGCAAGCGCAAGGTCCTGAGTTCGATTCCCGGTACCAAAAAAAAAAAAAAAAAAAAAAAAAAAAAAAGTGGAAAAGATAAAGACACACACACCACTCACATAACATTTATAATTGTATCATTATATCTAAAGAATAAATAACTATTGTGCCTTCTGGTGTCCCGGCCCGCGGGTACAGTCAACAGCAGCCCTAGAGGGGGAGTGGGGATTATAAAGGGACAAGAGCCACGAAAAATGCAGACAAGACAGGATTCTGATCAGGTCTCGTTTATTAGCAGGAAGTGCCGTGCTTATATACGGCTCGGAGAAACGCGGAAGTTCTAAGGCGGGAATAACCAAATAACCCGACAAAGGCGGGAGTAGCTAGGCAACGGCGGGCAGTCCTAATTCTAAAGGCGGGAGTAGCTAGGCAACGGTGGCCATTCCCAACCAGGAAGGGTGCGTGACTGCGGGGAAACAGGCAGAATATGAGGAAACGGAAACTTATCTTGGAAGCAGAAATTTAGTCTTACAGGGTGGATGCGTACCATAAAATGGCTGCCAGTGCAGTAGAGCATGGTGGCCAATTACAGGTCTCCCACATACTGGGTTACCTAAAGTTTATAGAAGCGGGATAATTTCAACACATGTATTTTCTCACTGGGAAATATTTATTATTAGTCTATGGGAAAATTTATGTAGATCTGTATCTTTAATGCATAGCATAGGGATATATGTCAGTTTCTCTTTTCTTTTTTTCTCTGTTTTGTGACAGTTTTCCTTCTTCTTTTGCTAGGTGATGTTCAACACCCACTGAAAACACACACTTTCTAATTCTTAGGGTCTTAGCATGGGCTAGACAGAGGTGGTCTGGTTAGCCCTTGCATAGAGAAGGTGGACTAGAGATTGGAAAGCTTAGTGGTGCTAACATTGTAGTAATGATACTAGGTCCAATAGCTGGATCATGTTGACCATACAGTATGCACCAGATTCTACATGGATAATCTCCTATAATTCCCATAGGATCCACTGATGTAAGCTCCCACTGCTTTACATATAAGGAAATCTGGTCTCAGATGATGTGACTTACCCATGGTCATGCAGCACAGAAGTAGATGAGTTTTGATTTTCATCCACATTCTCTGATTCCAAATGCCAGAAGGTCAGCTGGTATGCTGTCCCACTACCTATGGAAATTTCCATTTATTGAGATCTTCCTATGTGCTAGGAATTCAGTGAGGCTTGGAGAGCACAGATATAAGATTCACTTCAGAGAGACTCACGTGGCCCCAGAGTCTAGTACAGGGCTTGGCATGTAATGGGTTCTTATTGTTGCCCAAATGGACTGCACTAGATTACAGAAGAGTGAACACTGTGATATTCTGATGACTTTTCAGCCCAAGAAAGGGACAGATGGTGGAGGACAGAAGATTTCTTGGTGATTTTCCACTTGTCCCATCACTGTATCCATGGAGGGGCTACATCTCTGGATAAAATGAGCTTCTCTGGATGGTAGTTTAGGATGGTCTTTTCAGAGGTACTTTATTGGAGACTCCTGCAGTGAGCTTTAATCTCCTGCCAGGTATTATGGCACATGGTGGGAAGAAAGAAAGAAAGAAAGAAAAAAAGAAAGAAAGAAAGAAAGAAAGAAAGAAAGAAAGAAAGAAAGAAAGAAAGAAAGAAAGAGAAAGAAAGAAAGGAGGAAAAAATGGTGGTACAACGAGGATACAGGATGACAAGATATTCATGGGGAACAAAAGGCCACGAGGTAGACAGAACCTTAGCATTTATTTTTTTGAGGAAGGGATTAACAGATGACTCAGAGGGTGGTGGTGATTTTAAATTAATGAGGATCTTGCCCTGGAGCATCTTTAGTCTTAGTACTCTTTTAGTTTTAGTCTTAGTCTTAGTCTTAGTTTCAGTGTTAGTCTTAGTGGTTTTAGTCTTAGCCTTAGTAGGTGGGAGAGGATGGCCCATCCCTAATGGGATAATGGGAAATCTCAAAAGGGTGATACCAAAAGTCTCCAGCCTCCATTCATGCCTTAGAGAAGTATGTAATACTAGCCATTGTGAATTTGTGCTCCCCAGCGGTACCTGGTTCTCTATTTACTTTGATGTTTCTTAACTTCTTTGGAATCTTGTATATTCTAGAGAATACAATGAATGCTTTGAGCCTCCCCCAGGAAAACATGTTTATGTCTATCACCCAACTTCTGGGGTTTTCTGGACTCTAAATTAAGAGCTTTGTAAAGTGGAAGGTGCTTGAGGAGCAGGAGACATCCTATATCAATCATATCTCAAATGTGGAATTTAGTTGATGAACCAATATGTTTTAAAGGAATTTCCACTATGTGGCATGCATAATGCTGAGTTCTAGGGATAACACAGTAAACAGCTATTGCATGCAGATTAATCCGGAGGGATCTCTTGGGAGTTGAAACACATAACTAATGGTTTTTGAACTCTCAGACCACATTTGGGACTGGGGGTGAGGTGGTTTCCACTTCCAAGTGTCTGAAACTTTCTTCTGCTTAGATCCTATTTTAGACCAGTGTGCTAGCTTCCCATTAGTATAGTAAAATACCTGAGACCATTAACTTATAAAGATTAAAGGTCTATTTGATTCATGGTGTTGGAGGCATGGTCCAAGATTTATGGCACCATCACCAGGAAAGTGATTCCTGACATTGTGAAGTCTTGCATCATGAAGAACCAGCCACACTCTGGGGCCTTGGTTCTTTGTTGCTTTAATGAAACATTTCAGACAGGACACATAGGCCATCCTATAGAGTATGGGTAGAATTTATTGCAAAGTAATAGATTTTCAGAGAGAGAGAGAGAGAGACAGAGAGAGAAAGAGACAGAGAGTGCAAAGATGGCAGTTGCACTGAATCAGGTCTCAAATTACATTTATTTATTTATTTACTTATTTATTTATTTTTTTGTTACCAGGAACCGAACTCATCACCTCATGCTTGCTAGGCAAGTGCTGTGCCACTGAGCTATACTCCTGGTCCTCAAATTACATTTATATGATTAGTTGGGTCTTTCAAGAAATAGCCTTCCTTCCTCCAACCAAGGTCATTTTTTTTTTTTAATAAGAAAAATGGGCTGTGTTGACTTATTTCACAGGGAAGAAGGTCTTTAGCACCCCCTTAGGGCATGTTTTCCATTTATTTTGTTTTGACTTTGAGGTTTTTTCAACTTTGTGCCCATGGTCTGGACTTTGTATGGAGGCAAGAACTTAGCAGGATGCTCAGATAAGGTTACATTCTCCTAAGCTAAAGTTTAAAGCCATGGGCTCATGTGGATTTTATCGATAGCTAATGATTAAGAAACTGATGGTAAAAAGAAAACAACTTCATATTTTCTTTTCATATAACCCTCAGCCACCTGTCTCCAGGCTGTTTATGTTTAACTTTCTACCCAACAACCCCATCAGACTGAGCTTCTGATGAGGGTGGCACACTATGGTGCAAGTATGTGGCAGAGCAAACCACTCACATCATGAGCCAGGAAGCAAAGGAGAGGAGACCAAGCTCCCTCAGTCTCTTTGGAGGGCATTGCCCCAGTGATTGGACCTGAAATGATAGCTGTGCTGTTCTTTTTTTTACAAAATTTAATTCTTAAATGTACAGCAGATTCCAAGAACATACTTCATTCCCAGTATAGGTATCAAGAGATGTTCTGGCAGGGAATCCAGCTATTTGAATAGTAATGGAATCCAGGGTTACCATCATCTTAGGTACAAGGCAGTTTATTTTTTGCCAGATTTCTTAATTCTACCTGTGGCCAGGGGGCCCTTCCCCACGGTCTTTGTTTTTAGCTCCTCAGGTTTCTTCTGTTCCTCTTTTTGCTTCTGTTTGAATGTGCTGTCTTTCTCGTCCATCTCCTTGGCCTGTTTCTTGGGCTACTTCAGGGGCTTCTTCTTGCCACCCTCATGGCTGGACATGACTCCTGCATACCCTCTGGAACTGGGTTCAGAAACCAGACCTTATGCTGTTCTGTTGAACTATGTCCTTACTGATTTTCTGCTGCTTGCATCTGCAATTACTGAGAAGTATTGAAATATCTAACTATATTAGCAGAGTTGTCTATTTCTCTTTGAAGCTCTGTCAGTTTTTGCCTTATATATTTTGATGTTTTATTGTTAGATGCATGTATGTTAAGGTTTGTTATGTCCTCTTGGAGAATTAACCTTTTTATTTTATTTTTTGTCTTTTTGAGATAGGGTCTTGCTATGCAATTCAGGCCTGCCTTGAGCTCACTTTATAGCCCAGGCTGGTCTCAAACTCACAATGATCCTCCTGCCTCAGCCTCCTGAGTGCTGGGATTACAGGCATGAGCCACCACACCTGGCTAACCTTTCTAATGTTATGTAACATCTCTCTTTATCTCTGATAATTTTCCTTCTTGTAGACACTGCTTTGTCTAAAACTAGTAAGCTACTCCAGTTTTCTTTTGAATTTTGTTAGCATGGCATATCTTTCTCCATTCTTTGCTCTTAACTTGTGTCCTTACATTTATTTCTTTTTTTTTT